TGACAATATGAATTTTGTTATGAATCACAATATTGTGTGCATTGAATTGTAGGCACCTACAGAGAACTCCCCACCAGGAAGACTACCTATTAATGCCTCATCCCATCTAATGCACTTTCCCAGCCATATGAAATTTGAAATGCTGGAGTAATACAATCATCACAGCAAATAACTCATTGAGCTTCCTAAAAAACAATGGAGGAGGGAGAAAGTTCATTGTTAAACTTGGCATCCAATATAGGAAATAATGTTCAGCCAAGAGATCTCTGGGGTATGAAGTGAATAGTAAAGTCCACATTTCTGGTGTTATGAGATGAGAGAGCAAGCAGTTGGGTATGAATAATTCATTCTTTGACAAATTTAATGTCACTTCACAATGTATGTGCAAACAACATGCACCACCTTTTCATTTGTACAGCACCACTAAACAAGCCACAGGGCAGTTTGTGTCACTGACATTTGCAAACCACAACATAATGAGAGGCGATGAAAATAAAAAAGGATATTTGTGGAAAAGATATTTCTATAAAGAAGGTAAGAGCAAATATTCCAGGAGGACATCCAGATATCATTAGTAGTCCACATCCTTCTGTTGCATTGGGAATGCCTTTATTAAGATGTGCCATTTCAGCTCCCTGAAGTAAATATAAGTTCCTTTAATACTTAGTACTTTAGCATGTAACATCTTGCAATGGGAACAAGGCAGATTTTTAATTCTGAATTTCTGTATCGCATGAAGCAGATGATTCCCAGGTAAAGTGAATAGTAAAGTCCACATTTTACTATGAGGTGGGTTTCAGATACAGCTACCTTTTTACTCCCATCAAATGTTTCTGCTGCTTGGTACACTATCTGAACAGCATTGATTTTGGAAGTAAAAGCATATGAAGCTATTGGGAAAAAAGCTTTTTCAGCATATCTCATATTGGCAGGGTTTTGAATGCTGCACTCTTCATTGCTGCACACTTAAACATTTCTCTTCTTTAACAGAGACATGAAAATCTGTCAGTCTTGATTTCTATGCATTTCCTAGAACTTCACTGGTGTCTTAATCCCATTTCAGCACCTTATCCTATGAGGCTTTTCTGCCCTTCCCACAGTGAAAATTAGACACATTATTTCCAGTTTGCATATTTTGTACACATTTTCCCCTTTTGTATTTGTGTATATTTTCCATGTACACCCACTTTTATCCATTTTACAAATGTACCCCTAACTGTGAAGTAGTCAATTGCCTGAAAATAGTATTTTAAAATGACTGTCCATGATTGCCTATGATTTGGGGTCAGACTAGATAATCAACTGGGATTCTGCATGAGACTTGGGCCTTTACAGACTGCCAGAAATAGTGCAAATTGAGGCCACTTTAACTGTCCTGGCTCAGTGCTAGGGAATCATGGGAATTGTATTTTTTTTCTGGGACATTGAGCCTTCTCTTCCAGAGAGCTCTGGTGCCACAATAAACTACAGTTCCCATGATTCCTTAGCACTGAGCCAGGACAGTTAAAGTGGCCTCAATTTGCACTATTTCTGGCAGTCTGTAAAGGCCCTTAGAAAATTTTCTAGCTTAACTGAGTGTTTCTTTTAGCTAAGCTCTGTGCTCTGTACTGCATTCAGGTTGCATTGATAACACCACAGACTCCCTGTACTGTAGACATTTTCTATGTAAGATTCCTATGTTCTGAAAACAATGTCTGCTTAACAAGAAGTGCTGAATATTATGAAATTAATCAAAGGGAGGGGGGAGTTAGAGAGAGAAAGGTTTTCCTGTTGTCGTATGCCTATAAAAGCCGTTCTGAATTTGGGTGTGGGACTCTCTTTTGCAATCATACTAGAGGCATCGTTATAAATAAATTCCTATCTTCTGGACTTCAGCTGAGTCTCTGCAGTTATTCCTGCCTACCTGTTACCTGCTTCAAATGTTCTGTACACATTTTTCATCTTCATCAAAACATGGCACATGCCACAGGAATGGACAGATTTCACAGGCACTGTGAATTTCATCCTATGACCAGTCTTAGAAAGTGTGAAGTTTTCTGAAAAAAAATATGAACCCCAGAACCTAACATCTTTCTTTTCCATTCTCTTTCTTTAAGAATTTGTTGACAATCAAACAGACATGATAGCAGGATGTGGAAAATTTATAGCAATCTTCTCTGTTACTTCCAAAACAAGAGCCCAGCCAAGAATGGGATGGGGCTCTCCCAGAAGACTACAGAAGGGAGGACTATTGGGGGGGGGGAAGTGGGGCCATTCTGCCAATGGAAACTGGCTTCTTTCCTCTCTGTCTCTTTTTCTTTTTGCATTGTCTTTTTTGATGACCAGCCTAAAAGGAGGGATTGTCTTGCATTGATTATTTGTATGTAAATCAACCACCCCTCAGCCTCAGGGGAAGGCAATGGCAAACCCCTCTGAACAAATCTTGCCAGGAAAACCCAATGATAGATCCGCGTTAGGCTGGTCATAAATCAGGAATGACTCAAAGGCACACAACACACACACACACATATCATATCAGGAGGTGGAATATGCTTTCAATAGATATATATAACCCCCACCCCCACCACCACTATCACCACTACCACCTCAGAGGTTAGACAGTGAAGTAAGCTGGGATGGTGAAGAAGCTGCATCTTCAATTGTCTATTTTGTTGTGTGTTTTTTTTTAAAAAAAATCTACAATTTTCTTGCATTGTCTTTAATCCAGGTTTAAACAAATGAATCTTCCTATCACAGTTAGGCCTTTAACAGAAGATACACCCTTGGTATCTTTCTTCCTTTTGTTGTTTTGTAAAAATGCAACATATTTGTTCTTCTTGTTTGCCTTCAGTCATTTCTAACCTATGGCTATTGTATCATGGGATTCAACACACACACAGGCCTATATACTCAGGCCTAAATCCAGTGGTTAGCCCCAAGTAATACAGACATGTTGAATCAATGGAACTTGCCTAAGTTTTGACTTGCAGTTGTTGTTATGTGCTTTCAGGTCAACTCTGATTTATCCTAGAGTTTCTTGGCAAGTTTTATTAAGAGAAAGTTTGACATTGGCTTCCTCTTAGGCTGAGATAGTATGATTTGCCCTAGATCATCCAGTGGGATATATATATTTGGCCTGAGTGGGGATTCAAACCTTGGTTTCCCACAATCCTAGTCCAATACTCTTAAGTACTATACCACTCCGGCTCTCTCAGTGTTGACTTACTATATTCTGATTGATGCAGTGAATGTACTTCAATTGGGAGTGGACTCCAATTGAAGTTAGACTTATGGGGCTTTGGGCCAATGCTGACTGGCCAAAAGGGTCAGCCTGGGGGTGGAATTGGGATTGGGCAGCCACACAGTGGCTGCCCTGACTCTGCCCCAACTCCACCCCGATGCTGCGTGCCTGCCTGCATGTGTCATGGCCAGCCCTGAGGAGGACTCGGAGGACGAGGAGGAGGA